AAAAAAAATTGGGGGTCACCGACTTCGTTTCAGAGATAAAGCGTGTGGAAAACTACCCTGATTTTGAAAAATTGGCGCACGTAATTCAGCATGGTGTACAGCGGTTTATAGTTAAAAATATCGAAGGTGAGTCAACGGAGGCAAACGATGTTAGTCATATTTTGTAGAAGTGGGTCTTTTGCGTAAATAATTCCAAATGTTACCAACGTTTTCACAAAACTTAACCCTTCAAGAGACACTTGAAACCGCCGCACAGATAAACGAAGAGCTAAAAAGAACGGAATTTGATGGTGCATTTTGCAAAAAATTCAGACTTCTAGTCGACAGATTTTCTTCTTCTTTCGCTAAACGTAGAAAATCGGTAGAGGAAATGATGCATCAAAAGAAAAATAGGGGTTACCGAACGTCCAAGATCGTTAAATCCAGGCAAAGCTATAGCAATGGCCATCTGCCTTGTCATTTTTCATTTTATTACTTAGCGCGCGCTCTCATGCATGACGTGGCGTGTGAATTTGCGTGCGCAGCAAGGATGCCAGAAACAATTAGCGCGAACGTCCTTAAGCAAGAAAATGCCACATGATGGAAATCTTATGAAAGGCAAATGTTATGGCACGGAGTCACAGTGTTGGTAGAAATTTGTGATGTTTTATTATTCTACATTACCCCAGGCTACCAGTTGTACAATTGAGCATTACGGTACCTCTGGCTCCGCCTCACAGGAACTTCCGTCTTTGATATAGTCATCTGGAGGACACTATAATCAGAATTAAATTAAATTTGAATTGAAAAAAGTCTTACCTAAATTTCACTCATGATATGACTACTGAAATTATGTTACAGTGCCTTCTAAAGAGGTTGTTTTTAAAGAAACATACGAAACTCAAAGTTTTGTGTTATCACAAAAGCTTTCCTTTCGCAAAGGAAGAAATCGAACGGCGTGAAAACGGAAAAAAGACACAAACACGCAGAGATAATCATATTTATCTCTTAACTAGTATTTTGTACGTACCTGAGCAGACTTTCCAGTGCAATACTCTTCGACATCACACTCTCCGCTGCTTTTACGACATAATGTTCCAAGCGGAGAGAACTGTAAAAACACATGCAGAACCATCAATGTCGACATTCGAAAGATCAACAACTATTTTCTCCACACAGTATCAATGCATTGCCAAGCAGACAGGTAATGAGAATTGAGAAAATCATCAACCAGGAGATGTCTTAATGTAATACCAAATTCTCATCAGTAACATTAAAAGTGATTTATGGCGATCACTGAGGAGAGTTGATATTTTGAGCTACGCACCTGACACTTTTGACAGCACGTATGAAGTGCGTCACTACACTGAGAAGATTTCTTCAAGCGACAGTTGTTTGGGTTACAACAAGGATCTCGTACTTTGCATTCCTGTAGTTAATTGAAAATTAGAACTTCGAATTAGCAACAGTTACCTTTAACAAAGTTTATTACTGCCGGTTCTATTTTTCAATTTCCCAAGTAACGTGTCAACGGATTGGTGGGAGGTTTCTTTGGCTATGAGCAAACTATCGAACCAAGATCTTGGAGAAACTTGTATGATTTATTATCTTCCAAATAAAAACGTAACTTCGATGCCATGTTTAGGCAGGTAAATTTAGGTTTCTGTTTGACATGTCTATCTTGAGGGTCACGCCCAGCTATATTTGGCAAGTTCTGGAAACAAAATTGCTTTCTTCCCAATCTTCTCTCAAAAAAACTATCTCGGTGTTCAAATGAGGAAAAAGAGGCCTGGGACGATCTTCTGAAAAGAGGTAGATATTGTTTGCTATCGCTCGTCAGCGACGGTTAGTACATCTTGGAAAGTTCAGCCTAAATTTTTCAAGTTCGTCGTTTGTAATCCGTGTTTATCTTCCCCATTCTTAACCATTCTTGTTTCTCTATGGTTCATTATTATCTCTTTCTTCTTCTTCTTCTTTTTTTTGTCTTATCTTAGTAAACTATCATTTTCAGGCTTTCTTCAATTTAAAGGTAATTTGAACGCGGTCAAAATAACTCAAAATAACGTCACTGAGCTCCTCTAAGTTCTAATAAGGCGAAAATGTTTGCGCACGCGCGCACACTGTTTACCTCTGGCGTCCCGCAGTCGCACTCTTCACCAGGCTCTGGCATTCCATTCCCACACTTGTACTCGGGGTTTACGTTCTGCAAAACAAAGAGACATACTTGAGTAGTTGTTACTAATGATAAGGGTTTTCTCGTTAACTGTCATCTCAGTTGTGTTTCATACAGCCGAAAACTTCCAAAAAGTGACGATCAACCAACTTCTGCTGACATTTTCTTATAGACCAGCAAATAATGGTAAAGAGAAACAATAGGCCAGTTGCCTTTTGCCTCTGTATCAAAACGAGTCTTACGAAATCACTCATATGAAGATATGTTTCGCCTACATGTTCATTTTCATACAAAGCAAACTCATTCTGATATGAAAGGTTTTGCACCAAGACTCGTTTTGAAACAGAGGTACAAGGTAACTCGGAAGTGGCCTGCTGATAGCTATAGGGGAGCCATTTGATGCGTCACCGGATTTTCGGAAAAGATATCAAAAGAAATCTAAGGCAATAAGAAAATTAAACGATTCTGAGCACCTTCTTTGGCAAGTTGAAAAGACAGCTGTCGTCAATCGAGGTCATGTTGTGTAAGTTACAGTCGGAAAATCCGGGAACTCGAGTCCTATGGGGGAAAATGAAAGTACGGGATTAGATTAGCAGAAAGAAAAATGAAACGAACAGCGAATAAAATTAAAAAAAAAAAAACAAGGGAATTTCAAACAACTCACTTAAAAGATCCCATGACACATCCACGTGGAGAAAGGCATTTACATGATGGCCAAACTGTAATTGTAGAAAAATGATCGTTTGCTTGCAGTCATGGTCATGGTCTCTTACAAGAGACGATGATCTCTTTTTGCTTGGTATAATCATATAAGTTACAAAGAGCATTCTTACTAAAAATTCGGGTAAAAATGTTTTT